GTGGCCATCAATGGATGAATGAAAAACTAAGTGTGCCACAAGCACGTCAAGAAATACCATTCTGCCCGTAAATGAAAGGCAATTCTAACACACACTCCACAGAGAGGATCCTTGAGGACATTATGCTAAGTGAAATAAGCCAGTCACCAAAAGACAAATATGGTGTAAGAAACCACTTATATGAGGTATCTAAAGCGGTCAAACTCACAGAAATAAAAAGCAGAATGATGGCTGCCAGGGTTAGGGGATGGGCGCAACGGGGAGATGTTGACTGAGAATGGAATTTCAGTTTTGCAAGAAAGAAGTCATGGAGCTCTATGGCATGAGGAGGTGAATATCCTTAGCACTGCTGAACTGTACACTTAAAACTGGTTCAGATGGCAAATTTTGTTATGTGTATTTTAGCAAGAATAAGAATTTTAAAAGATAAATCACAGCCCTTAAAGAGGAAAAGTGTAAATATTTGGTGACTCTCTCTTGCAGTAGAAGAATACGGTTATTCTGGGAGCAACTCAAAGGTCGGGCCTCACAGAACGAGAATGTGGAGGCCCCTCTTCTCCACTTCCCACTAGTTGGTAATGAAGCCGAAGCCTCCCCACTCTCTACTCCCTGCAATGTTCTCATCTCTGCTCTGAAGTGTGTTGTTGGCTGAGATAGTGAGCAGATGATCCATCTAAAATCACACAGAGTCGGGGGAAGAAACACTTTCAGGTCTGAAACGTGCATATGGAGCGGCCTGGAAGTGGAGTGCTGGCTGCGTCTATGAAGAAAAGCTGCTGGCAGGGAAGAGGATGACTCTCTCAGACAGAAATTACAGCCCATTTTCTCCTGCACCATGATGTCATCTCATTTGTTAACAATTCCAGAAAAAATAATTCCACAAATGAATGCCCCTTGGGGAAACTATGGGAGCTGATGTTTTACATTCGCCTAAATAACTCTCATTCAGAACACAGCTTCTTTTTGATTCTATCCTGGCTCGTAGGGGGCACTCAGTCAATGCTTGTTCAGTAAATGAATGAATGAAAGGTTGTGAGTAACCTCAGAACACACCCACTCAGTTAAATTCCTTAACTTTGTTACTGTGCCTATTCAGTTCCTACAGTAAGGATTCCAAGCATCAAACATCTCATGCTTGAATTCTCATAGTTTATCTCAGATATGAAAAATGTAATACGATGAGGATATGCTAATAAAGTCTATTAATCAACAGGACAGGACAGGTCAGGACAGCAGCAGAAAATAGAATGCAAACACAGTTCCTATGAACTCGAGTCATCTGAAGCACGCCGGAGCCAGCTAGGGCCAGACGCTGTGGGCAGGCCGGATTGGAACGAAGGGTATTTGAGAAACAGGGAACGGCTATCGCGTCAGCACCGTCTTACTACGGTTCTTTTTATAGGAGATCAGAGTAAAGACGTGTTGGAAATATCAACTCATTTTTTTTTTTACCCTCATTTTACAAAATCAAGTTTTCTGCATGTTTTTTTTTCTCAGCCTTGTTAGGAAGCTGGATGCAACATAAGACACCAATCTTTCTCCAGGGTTTGCAGGAAGATGCTATGAGAGCCCCAAGCAAAGGCGCTATGCCAGGTAGAGAGATGACCTCAAGGGAGTGTATGCCCCACCTCTGCAGAAGGCTCCCCAGTCCTCCCAACGTGACCTAGAAAAAGAGGCACTGAAGGTGATTGGGGCCTGGGGGTTGGTTCTAGAAATTCACCTAAACTTCTGCTCTCCCTCCCTGCCGGCTCCTAGGCCTGGGAAAGGCAGGGAGAGGAGGAAGGCAGCTGGCCACGTGCCTCTGGAAGCAGAGGCTGTGGTGGCAGGGGAGGCTGGCAGGTATGGCCCCTCAGGGGAAGCCCCTAGGTGCTGTTCTAATTTGGCACCAGAAGCTCCCAATAGTAGGTTAGGCATGAAGGGTGGGTCCTAAAGTGGCAAATCCAGCTTTGGGTCTCCCTCTCTCCTCATTGATGGGGGCCCCAGAAGCCTAACAGAGGTCAGCAGAATAGGCTCACTGAGTGGGAATCTAATGATTCTGCAGCACCAGTGCCCAGGAAGTCTTAAGGCAAGGGATTTATGATTTGGGATTTTAATTAGATTTCACTTCCAGGCCTCTGTGGAAAACAAAATCTGCAACAATAACATGAAAACATTCTCATAGACAGTATTTACTTTAAAAAGAATGTTTTGTGAAAACAATGCACTCCTATTCTCAATCAGCAAAACGATTTTTAAGTATAATCAGAACTCTCATAAAAACAATTTTGGCGTGGTGTGGTCTTAATGCATTTCGCCTAAACTGTCCAACAGGCATCTGCCTCTCCTGCCTGCCAGTCTTGGGGCAGGGGGCTTCAGCACCTCCAGACAACCAACCAATGGAAAGCTGGAATCATCCCCACCCAGGAATAACAGCAAGAACACTGACATAGCAGTGGCTCTCAACTGGGGGTGATCTGGCCTCTTTGGGGTCTTGGGAGCATTTGGCAATATCTGGAGATATTTTTGGAGAGGAGGGATGTGGGGAGGGTGCCATTGGTATCTGGTGGTAGAGGCCAAATGCATTTAAACATTGCGTAACACACAGGACGGCCCCCAACAACAAACATTCTACAGTCCAAAATGTCAATATTGCGAGACCGAGAACCCCTGATTACGCAGGGCTTACTACATGCTGATACTGTTCTAAGTATTACATACATACATATTATATATACATATATATATAATATATATATCTAGATATATATACACATATACACACACACATACACACATATATACCTATATATACATATACATACATATATATATATCCATTTATTGAACCCAACACTTCAAGATAGATACTATCATCCCCAGTTTGCAGATGAAGAAACTGAGGCTCAGAGAAATTAAGTAACTTGCCCAAATCACAGAGCTAGTGAGTGTTAAGTTAAAATTGGACCCAGGCCAGCTGCTCCAGAGGCTACGCCATTCATTACACAACATGACGCAGCCTCCTGCCTGCACTTGTCCTTTGTGCCCACATCCAAGCAGCCATGGAGCCCCTCAGAGCCAATCTCTATATGCTTCCGCTCTGTTCCTGTCACCATGTCCTCTCAGGCCTGCCTCCTCTCCTCAAGGGATCATGGAAATACACTTCCTTCTTCCAGCTCCACACCTTCTAGTTCACCTCCCTGGCGTTCGCTGGCACCAGAGTGACCTCAGAATCCCAGATCTGACCATGCCTCTACCTCTTGCTTGAAACACTTCAACAGGTCCCTGCCACCTGCAAGGTGAAGCCCAAACTTCAGGATGGAGTCTGAGCGCTCATCGGAATAACCACTTTGCAGGCCTTCTCCTGCTTTCCCATCGTCTCGGCACCATCGTGTGACATGCTGTGCTGTTACCACCTCTCAGGACCTGCTCTGTCTGTGATTCCCACCCCCAAATCTCTTATCCGGCAAACACCTGCTGGCCCTTCAAGGATCAGTCCCAGTGTCTCCTCTTCCAGGAAGCCTTCCCAGAACACCTCAGTCCTCCAGGTAGAATTGACCACTCCCTTTTTTGTGTCTCCACCATTCACTTCTATGCCTTTAATAAAATGCTGGGTGCAGTGGCTCACGCCTGTAATCCCAGCACTTTCGGAGGCCAAGGTGGGTGGATCACAAGGTCAGGAGATCGAGAGCATCCTGGCCAACATGGTGAAACCCCGTCTCTACGAAAAATAAAAAAATTAGCTGGATGTGGTGGCGCATGCTTGTAATTCCAGCCACTCAGGAGGGAGGCTGAGACAGGAGAATTGCTTGAACCCAGGAGGCGGAGATTGCAATGAGCTGAGATCCAGCCAGTGTACTCCAGCCTGGCAACAGAGCAAGACTTCATCTCAAAAAAAATAAAATAAAATACATTACTATTTTTCTTTGCTTTCAAATCCATTCCTCAAAGATAAGAGCATTGTGTTATTTCACGTATCTCTGAAGCCTAGCCAAGTAACTGAGTAGTCACTCAGTAAGTATCAGAAGAATGAATAATAAAATATCTCCTATGGCCTGAATTCTTTGCAGGACAGTCACTATCTGCAAAGGAACTCTATGCTGTTAGACACTGCCATTCTCAGGCAGTGGGTGCAGTGTAAGACACCCATCTTACATGAGGCAGAAGTCAGTTTCTGCATTGCCTCAACTCAAGAAGGTCTGGTGCTATGCCCGGGACTACCTGGAGTTGCCTCTCACCACTAAGCCAGGTGGCACCTCCCTGTTAGGATCCTCTTCACCAGGCTGAACATCTCCAGCTGCCTCTCCTCTTCCCAACAGGCATTGTTTCAAGATCCCTTGTGGCCCTAGAGTATGCATTGAATTACTAAGCAAACCCAAATTGCAGTGGGCCTTCAGAGAAGCTGGTGGCATCTGGGAAGTTTATGCAGATTCCTGATACAATGCTTAAAGTGTACTTCAAATCAGAGGTCCCAAGTTCAAGTGCCTGTGGCCTTAGACGGGTCAGATCCATGAATGAAGTAAGCAGGAGGTGATGAAATAGACAAGAGGGGCTGTGGGTGACAAAGTGTGCCTGGCCTCACCTCCACAATTGCTGCCACATAGGAGAAGGGCCCAGTCTTGCCAGATCTTTTTTAAAAACGAAAACCAAACTAGAAATTTGCATTTTCATACAAGTTTTTTAGATACACGTAACTAATTTTTTTTAACATATACAGCAAAGTGTTTTCCAAATTGACTGCATCTGGGGGCTGGCTGCAGACTGTCTGTTTGTGGCCTTGGCTTTAAATAAAGAATTGCTTTAAAGAAAGAGTGATTCCTAAGTTTTTGCATTTAGTGTTGGAAGTGTGCACAGATATATCGAGAGTTGTGGACATACAAGGGCAGAATTTAAATTTGAAATTAAACTAGAACACTAGGGTTAAAAATAACTTTGAGGCATAAATCACTAAAGAGGGTGAGTGAAACAGGGAAAAACAAGGAGCCGTTGTAACCAGGGCCCAAAGCTGAGGCAGACTCAATTACCGGTCAGCAAATCTATCTCCAGCAATGCCTGGAACAAGGTGGGGTGTTTGTCTTTCAGCTCTTTCTCCCAGGGGAAGGCTCTGCACATCAAGGGTCTCCCATGCCTGTGCTTGAGGTCCAGGTAGGAGTTGTGGAGGTGGCCTACACAGAAGAGGAAGCACAAGATATCACACCGTTTAGCAGAAGGAAACACTCGCTTCCCTAAAGCCCTTCTTCCTAAGCGGAACTAAAAAGAAGAGGCCAGACTGGATGGTGGTTTGGGCCCTTTTGGGATTTGAAATTGGCTATGATGCTTTTGCCTCCAGGTCACAAATTCAGAGCCAAGTCCAGGAGCAATGTGCCAAAGTTGCTCATGGTTGTTGACTAATTCTACAGAATGAGCAGCTGGCCTCTGACTGGTCCCCAAGAGGCCAATATCTAGGCCATTTTTTTGGCATGTGAGTTGAGGAGCAAAGCACAAAACCTCCAGGGAGGCGAGGCAGTCGAAGATGATAGGAAAATCTTCCTAATGCCACCAAACAGATGGGTGTCCACACCTGGCCTTCCAACTCAGGGTCTCTCTCCTGCTAGTACATACGTTACCAAAGTCAGTTTCTTTCCGCTTTGGGTTATTACTATTCCTATCTATCCTCCCCCTCCTCTGACAACATCATATTTTTCTGGATGATTCAGCAGTGAGAGCGGCAGCTGGGGACCAGTATAGCCTATTCTTAAATTGAATTGCAGCAGTGCTGTCTCTACACACTCACCTGTCACCATCTCTAATCACTACCTGGGACCATTTCATGTGAACCCTATTAGACCGGGGCATGTTTGAGATGCATCCCTCCCTCCATAACCTGGAATGAGAAGTTCCGCTCTGGAAATGGAGAGACATATGGGCAGGACTGAAATACTCAATTCGCTTTTGCTGATGGCAAAGGCCCCACAGGAATTTCTCTTCCAGAAGGAACATATGTGAGTAACTCTAGTGCCACCATATCAAACAGTAAGATCCATTGCACAGAGAAATGTGTAAGTGCTAGATCCAAGCTGGAACGCTGGAAGGACCAGACAGGACCAAGTTTTGTAACTGATAAACACCCTGTGTGAGTAAAAGGATGTCTGTGCAAATATGAGCATGCACGAAAGCAGTCTATTTCAAATTCATTCCTTCTGTTAAAAATTACCGATGTCTTCAAGAATGAGTTAATTTCAAGGATTTAAAAAATAAAATCGAGCTCCAAACAACAAAGCCGTCGTTCAACATTTCCGAAAGCTAATATTCAGATATTAATGGCCCAAAACAAAAGTGCACCGATGGGGAAACATTGCTAATGATTAATTTATTTTCCAATTCATTTTTATTTTCTTAGGCTGGTCTTACGGATGGGAATAACGACATTCGAGGCACAAAACACTCGCTGTCATTTGTAAGCTCGATTTTCATGGTTGGAGCTATAAGATGTTTTGGTTTTTCTGGGCTGTTGTTGGTCTTGGTAGAATCCAGGTGGAAGGTACAATTTCACCTGTGTCTACCAGTGGAGGGCTTGAGGTCACACTCGTTCCCACCGGTATCTGAGCCAAGTCATATATGTTCAATTCTGATCCTGTTACAGAGAAGCCAAATGTGTTAATGCAAATACACAGAGCTTAAAACAGCTCCCCTGAACTCAACACTTACATGCTTCTTGTCTCTCGCCCCCGTGCTGTGCTGAGGATGCATACACAGAGACTATTTCCTGAACCTCAGCACACCTTTCATAATATAACTTGATTCGTTCAGCAAGTTGTTTCTCAAGGAGGGGATTAACAATCTACAAAAAGGGAAGAAAGTCAAATGAACAACAGTGGCCATCAAATATCCACCCATCTCTAGGAAGTTGCGTTCGGGTTGACTTTGTTCTCCCATTGACGTCTACAGTGCTTCTTTGTACACATATCATCCACTCTGGATTTGCAAAGCAAAGTCACTGGTATGAATTCAAGGACATGCCAGCTCTGATGCTTCCCTCCAGCTTCTCTTTGAGCTCAGTTTCTTAAATGTCAGAATTTCCCAGAGACTGGGACTCTGCCCCTTCTTTTCTCTGGCTGCACGCTGTTGCTAGAAAATCACACTCACCACCCCCTTCAATTCCCACGAAAAGATGCAAGGGTACCCGCAATGTGCCTGCTGCGTTAAAGAATCCTCCTCCCCTCTTCTGCAATCTCCAAGAGATGGGTGCAAAACCATGGCTTCAGGACAGGCCCCCCAGTGGCTCACCCCATCTCAGTTGCAGGCTGATAAACCCATTCCTGCCTCAGCATTCCCAAACACATCTGAATTAAAGCATGTATCATATTCTTTCACAAATTCCCTGTTTAAGATCCCAAAAGGGAGCTCCTCAGGAACAAGAGACTTAACTCAGTGTGCTTCAAAATATAGGCTTGGACCCATTAGAGGGTCACACAGTTATTTTGGCAGGTGGCAACCTAGAGCGTTTTGGTGTTTTGTTTTGTTTTTATAAAGTAGAACACAAAATATCAGCGTGCACTGAATATAGCGAGGGTATGTATTCTTAGAATAATTTTGTTTCCATTTTGTGTGTGAATATAGGTATGCATATATACATACTGTTCATGATATTAAGCATATTTCTTGCTTTTTTTTTCTTTTTGAGACAGAGTCTTGCTCTTGTCACCTAGGCTGGAGTGGAGTGGCGCAATCTCAGCTCACTGCAGCTTCCATCTCCTAGGTTTGAGCGAGCCCGTCCGGCTAATTTTTGTATTTTTAGTGGAGGCAGGGTTTCACCATGTTGGCCAGGCTGGTCTCAAACTCCTGACAAGTGATCCGCCTGCCTCGGCCTCCCAAAGTGCTGGGATTACAGGCGTGAGCTACCACGCCCAGGCAATATTAAGTAGATTTCTTATTGCGGACAACCAGGAAAACAATTTTAAAGCTACCCATCTCGCTTGTCTCGGCACCTGGTTCAGAGCCTGGCATACAGGTAGGATCTCAATAAGCATTTGTTGCACAAATGACTAAATGAATTTCGCTTTTTCTTCTTTTCACAAAGGTCTCTCACAGAGGCTCTAAGATATCACCCATGGGCTGGAGGGCTCCCCATTTTTCCTGATTATGACTTTGCCTAGTGACCCCTGTTTTTCTCAGAATAAACTCCACAGGGTGAAGGGAATGAAAGAATGTTTCTCTTTCAGGTAGCAGGTGGGGTTCTTGATCTCCTTCACACAGCTCGGAAAACAAGTGCTCTGAAAGCTCCCTCCTGGGCAAACAGCCCTCTGCCCGCACAGTCCAGCTGCGTTGGCCCAGAGCGTTGGCCGTTCCATTTGGGGGTGGGTTTTGGATGTGGAAGGCAGAGGATTCAGCCTGAACACAATGCCCTTTCTCATCCATACAACTGCTGCCAACTGACTCCAGTGTGAGCAGAAGGCCTGTGTTTCTGAAGAGAGCAGCCAACGGAACCGAGATTTTAATTTGCTACAGCATCTCTTCTGATACTTCAAATAATAGCATAGAAAAGAAGCTTTACCAAGTAACTAAGACTCTCTCCTTTCATTAGCTTAATCGCTGGATAGGCAACAGCCTGATGAAAATCTACTCTATAATTAAACTAGTAGTTATTAAAACAGAGGAAGTAAATGGTTTCCATTTTATGAGTACTAAATGAACCAAATGTTAACAGAAATCTATTATTGCTTTTGCTGGGGGAAAAGTCTCCATAGTAATCATGTGTGATGACAGAGGTGAGGCATGGTCCGGCCTGCTGAAACTTCATTTACACTGGCTTGCACACCCCTGAGGCCCACACCCCTCACCCCGGAGTGCTACAATCTTCCTGATCCCCTGGACTCACCTGGGTGGGGTGCAGACTGCGAAGGCGATAGTACTTCAGGGGTCCAAAAAACCCTTCAATGCCAGCCACATACCTGCTCCCTCCGATAATGAAGTACCCAGCTGTGTCATTATAATGGAAATCCTCCATGAAGCTAGAGAAGAGAAGGAAGGATGAAGGGAGCTCCGTGTTGGAACTAGATGATTTAAAAAGAATCTCTTTCCTTGACCCTCCTTGACTTAACCGAAATTGCCCCAAGCCCTCCACTCTGAGTTTTAGCAGCCGAGACCAGTGTGGGGCCAGGTGGACTTGGGCTAGGATCCCAATTCTGTTATTTACCAGCTATGAGACCTCAGTCCAGTCACTTAACCTCCTCTCCAGCGCTGTCTGCTCCTGTGTAAAATAAGTTCTTCCCTTATTGGGTGGTTAAGAGGATGAAGTGAAGTGTGAAGATGTCAGGCATCTAGCAGAGTGCTTGGCCCACAGTGGATACTCCATCTGTGCTGACTATTGATGGTGGTGGTATTGTTTGGAATCAATGGAATTGTCTGGAATTGTTGGTTTTCATGGGAAAGATTGTGCTCTAAAAGAAAAACCACCTTGTTGAATGAATAGAAGGTGGCTGTGGGGGAAACTTAAAGTGCAGACTATTAGGTAAGGACTGAGGCAAGATTCAGTCAGGACGAGGGGGCCACCGCAAGGTCAGAGGGTTTGGCGGGAGGTGAGAGGTCAGCACAGATGATATGTTAGAAGTCCACATTGTCCTGAAGGGCTTGAAGCATCATCGGAAAGGAAGAGAAGGACAAAGTGGGTTGGCATTTGTAACATGCATGAAGGTGTTCCTCACAGCGTTGCTTATAATCGCCCAAGACGGGAGAACCCCGGTGTCCGTCAGCGGGGACTGGCCCATCCATCCAGTGTGCCTTGGACTTGAGCTTTTTCACTACACAGCTTAAAAAAGGGACAAAGGAACCTGGAGAGATCTCCAAAATATAGTGATAAGTGAAAAAAAATAAAAGTACTAGACACAGAGCAGACCTTTTATCTAAGAAAGAGGAGAAGAGATATTTTTTCACATTTGCATAAAGAAACTCTGGGTGGAAGTCTATACAAGAAACCAACAGAATTATCTCCCCATGGGGTGGGGGGTTGGGGTGGAGTGCATGGGGGTAGGGTTGGGAGCAAGACATTTAACTGTATTTTTACAAAGTTTTGATTTTTTTTTAAACCATGTGCATCTATTACCTATTAAGAATTTAAAATAAGGCCGGGTATGGTGGCTCACACATATAGTCCCAGCACTTTGAGAGGCCAAGGTGGATCACCTGAGATCAGGAGTTCAAGACCAGACTGGCCAACATGGTGAAACCCCATCTCTACTAAAAATATAAAAATTAACAGGGCATGGTGGCTCACACCTGTAATCTGAGCATTTTGGGAGGTTGACGTGGGTGGATCACCTGAGGTCAGGAGTTCAAGACCAGCCTGACCAACAGGGTGAAACCCCATCTCTACTAAAAATATAAAAATTAGCAGGGCATGGTGGCTCACACCTGTAATCTGAGCATTTTGGGAGGTTGACGTGGGTGGGTCACCTGAGGTCAGGAGTTCAAGACCAGCCTGATCAACAGGGTGAAACCCCATCTCTACTAAAAATATAAAAATTAGCCAGGTGTGGTGGTGCATGCCTGTAATCCCAGCTAGTTGGGGTGCTAATGCAAGAGAATCACTGGAACCCAGGAGGCAGAGGTTGCAGAGAGCTGAGATCGTGCCACTGCACTCCAGCCTGGGCAACAAGAGCAAGACTCCATCTCAAAATAATAATAATAATAATTAATAAATAAAATTAAAATAGCAAGAATTTAAAATAAGAATGGGAAGACAAGGTGTTATCAGAGCATCTGTGAACAGTGAGGGGAGTGGGGGGTCAAGACAGGCATCAAGTGAGAAATCAGGCAACGAGATAGAGTGAGGAAGTATATGGGTGGAGGGCGCGGGCAGATGGAAGCAGAAGGAAAGGAAACCAAGTGTCAGGCAGGCTGCCAGGAGCCCCGGGGGCGGAAGGAGCAAAGGGCCAGAGTGACGACGTGGAAGGGGACAGAGCAAGCTACCCACGGTTGGATCAGGGAAACCAGGCAACCCAGGGTTACTCCAGACCGGGAGATGGACTGTGTGTTAGCAAAGAACCCAATCCCTAGCAGGTGCACCTGGCCAGGGAGGAAGCATGAGATGCTGAAGCAAGGCGCACAGCCTGATGGCATCCGCTGACAGCAGCAACCGCGAACGCCTAGAGATTAGCCTCATCTAAACGCAACCAAAATGGAAAAGAAGTGCTTCAGCTCCTGAGAGTCTTCTTTTCAGAATCTCAGACTTGTAGGACTGTGAAGATGATGGTCTCTCCTGCCTATTTAAGGAGAGACTATAAAGTTATTATCTCTGAGAGGTGTGAATTGATTCTGTTTTCCAAGACCTTGAAAAGACATGAACATTCCAACAACTCTCACGAGACAGGACAAGGTACTCGATGGATACTAAGCAACGCTTCTAGTAGGAAGCTCTCAACAGATCTGCAACTGAACCGACTCCCCAGCTTACCTGACTGTCCTCATATCTCTGCAAAGCCGACTGACTGATGCCTACAGCATCCCGGATGCTCACTGCTTCACTGCCTAGAGCTTACAGTTTGGAGCCTTAGTCTCCCCATTGAAAAAATGGAAATAGTGGCCGGGTGCAGTGTCTCATGCCGGTAATCCCAGCACTTTGGGAAGCTGAGGCAGGTGGATTGCCTGAGGTCAGGAGTTGGAGACCAGCTTGGCCAGCATGGTGAAACCCCATCTCTACTAAAAATACAAAAATTAGCCAGGCATGGTGGCATGTGCCTGTAATCGCAGCTACTTGGGAGGCCGAGGCAGGAGAATCACTTGACCCAGGGTGGTGGAGGTTGCAGTGAGCCAAGATTGCAAAATTGCGCTCCAGCTTGGGCGACAGAGCAAGACTCTGTCAAAAAACAAAAAAAGGAAACAGCGATAGCACCTGCCTTTATGATTGTTGTGAGGATTAAATAAACTAATATGTAAACAAAGCATTTAAAACAGTGTTAGGCGCATAGTGGACACCATAACCGATAGCAACACTGATTATTATTCTTACCAAGTCCTCTGTTGGACTTTGACTCCCATATTTTCAGTTGCACGCTTAGTAAGGATAAGATGTGTGTATTCTTAAAACTCTTAATGTTGGCCTGGCACAGTGGCTCATGCCTGTAATCTCAGCACTTTGGAAGGCCGAGGCAGGAGGATCTCTTGAGGCCAAACCAGTAAATGCCAATAGTAGGCTTATTGTAATCCTATTGTTCACTTAAATATGTAATCCAGTAAAACATGAGCGGGGAAGAAAGAGCTGTTCTTTCTATAAAAACTAAGTTGATTTTGAGTCTACCCAAAATAATCAACTAGTTTACACAGAAAGAATAAAATGTTGTGGAAAAAAATTGAGAAAAATCTAGATGGCTTTTGGGCTCTGATTATTTCTACGAGCGTCTTTGTTTTCTTTTCATTTGGAAGAAACAGAAATTGGGTGTTGTTTACAAGTGAGAAAAAAGACCACAGAGAACTTAAGTCTGTAGATTTGTACTTAAAAAAGAAGGCACTATCTGGAAAGACTGGCAAATGTGAACATATATATATATATATATACACACACACACATACACACATATACATATACACACATATACACATATATACATATACAAATGTGAACATATATATATATATACATACACACACACACACACACACATACATTTTTTTTTTTGAGATGAAGTCTTGCTTGGTCACCTAGGCTGGAGTGCAATAGTGCAATCTCAGCTCACTGTAACCTCCACCTCCCGGGTTCAAGTGATTCTCCTGCCTCAGCCTCTGACTATCTGGGAATACAGGCATGTGCCATCACACCCAGCTAATTTTTGTATTTTTAGTAGAGATGGGGTTTCACTTTGTTAAGCCAGTATGGTCTCAAACACCTGACCTCAGATGCTTCACCCGAAGTGCTGGGATTATAGGTGGGAGCCACTATGTCCTATCATATATATGTTTTAATTGAAATAAAAATCTTTAAGGGAGTTATATTTTATTAATGAATCCTTGCATTAACTGAGTTTTTCAACAAATAACAAATTACTTGGTCCCTAGGGCACTGAACTGTAATTTTTAAATTGCCATTATTGTCAAGCAATAGGGTATCTGTCCATCTTGGTCTCCATCTACATCAAAGTCTTCACATTTTTTTCCTGCAAAATCCTCAGTGTCTGAACAAGATTGCAAGAGATTCTTTGTACTGCGCACTGTTTGATGGTCATCAATTTTACTGACATAAAAGCTGAGCTAGACTCTTCCAAAGCCCAAGCCAGCCCCTTTCGAAAATGTGAGATATGCTGGCAAACCATCTTTACTCTTATCTGGACATAGGAGAGTGCCCTGGTTTATCACCGCAGATTGCCAGTAACCTGAAAGAGTCACTGACGTTGTGAAATAGGCCTCGCTTAGAGTTAGGAAATAGCTCCAGCTTGAAGTTTCCTTGGTAGGAACACACCATCACACCCAGCTAATTTTTGTATTTTTAGGAGATACAGGGTTTCACCATGTTGGCCAGGATGATCTCAATCTCTTGACCTTGTGATCGGCCCACCTCGGCCTCCCAAAGTGCTGAGACTACAGGCGTGAGCCACTGCGCCTGGCCATAAATTTGTTTTCTATTTGTCTCCCCAGATTGATATTTTACCTCCATGAAGGCAGGGTCTGTATTCTTTGTGTTCATCATTTTATTCCCAGAGTTGAGTACTGTGTCTGACATGTGACAGATGCTCAGTAAACAGATGTTGAATGAATGAATGAATTTAACACTATAGAGGCCTAAAGCTGTTACCTGCCCCTGGGAATTATTGGCAGCCTCTCATTTATGTGTTGCTCTGCAATTCCCAGCACTTAATTCCTGATCTTCCCACACTATCCTTGCAGGCAACTGTCATTATGTTTACATTATAGGAACAAACATAAAGGAGGGGTAAGGGTCTTGCCTGGGAACACCAATAACCAGTAAACTGAAAATATCTGATGCTTCATTCACTGGTTTGACCCACGACCGACTCTAAAAGTGGGGTACCTAGCAGGGATGAGATTGCAAATACCTGATTACAGGAACCCTGGGGGATTCTGGACAGCTCCTGTGGGCCTAGCTTTACCTCTGCTTATTTCTCTGATGGGGAGGTCTCAGGAATACAGGAAGGGCAGCTGGGGTACTAGGGAGGGGCACTCCTGGGTCTGAGTACTGCTAATTTTGTTTGTTTGTTCTATGGCAAAGTCTAACTTTGTCACCCAGGGTGGAGTGTAGTGGCATGATCACTGCAACCTTTACCTCAGCCTCCTGAGTAGCTGGAATTACAGGCACCCGCCACCACATCCAGATAATTTTTGTGTTTTTAGTAGAGATGGGTTTTACCATGTTGCCCAGGCTGGTCTTGAACTCCTGGACTCAGGTGATCTACCTGCCTCGGGCTCCCAAAGTGCTGGGATTACAGGCAAGAGCCACAGTACCCAGCTGGAGTGCTGCCAGTTTTACTAAGAAATTGTTTCAATGCTTCAACTGGGATGTTAGGTTGGTGTGTACCCCAAAATCATGCTGATTATGTCTTTACTTAAAATTTTAATATTTTGTTCATCATAGATTCTCTGCATTCATTTTGATTTTTTAAAATATCATATTAATATGTTATTTATCATGATTACTGTTGAGTTAAATTGTGTGCCTCCTCCTCCCACCGAATTCATATGCTGAGGTCCCAATCTCCAGCACCTCAGATTGTGACCTTATTTGGAAATAAGATAATCGCACACGTAAGTAGTTACATTGAGGTGATACCAGAGCCGAGTGGGCCCCTAACCCAATATGACTGGTATCTTTCTAAGAAAGGGAAATTTGGACACAGACACACCTGTGGGGAGAATGCCATGTGAAGACTGAAGTTACGCTGCCACGAGCCAAGCAGCTACCAGAAGCTGGGAGAGACCTGGAGCTAATCTACCCCTTGCACCGTCACAGGGAGCATGGCCCTGCCAGCCCTATGACCCTGGACATCTGCCCTCTAAAACTCAGATGATAAACTTTTGTGGTTAAAGTCACTTAGCTTTGGCACTTGGTTCCAGCAGCCCCAACAAACGAAGGCAACCCCTGAGCTTTCGAGCACCCCGTGAAGTTTTAGCCTCGCTTGCCTCACTCCAGCCCCAGCCCGGAATCATTCTGTGACTACTCTGTCTCCCATTCACTCATGGCAGCCTCTAGATCTCTGGGGTTGAAGAGAAAAGGAAACCCTTACAAAGAAAATGAAAAGGAGCCTATGAAATTCAATAAGTTGTCAAAAATGTCCTGGAGCCGGGCATGGGTGTCAGGGGACAGAGGGGAAGCTGTTTTAAACTTCATGTCCTGAAACAAAAACCTTTAATTTCTGGAGCCCACTTCACAGAACACGGAGATCTCATCTCCAAAGGAGCCTCAGATCAGCTGTTTCTCCAAAGACCGCTCCCAGGCTTCGCTTGCCCTTGAACTTTTCAGAGAAGATCCCCTAGCCACTTGTTATATAACAACACTCCTATGCGTTGAACGCCTTCTGGCTGATCCGAATCTACCTTGGTGCACTTGAAGATGTGCGTTCTGTCCTTAGGCCTCAGCCGCTTTATTTCAATACAGCTATTAAGCCACCCGCACCCTCTCTTGGCAGGCTAATAACACTTCTTTAGCCTTTCTATGAAACTCTAATCCTTTAATCCAGCCATGAAAATATGAATTGTTCTATGTGCCCAGAGCTTAAAAGAAAACAGTTGGACTTAAATGAAAATAGAAACTTAAAAAAAACTTTTTTTTAATTATTTAATGCAGATTCTGATTTAGAAACTCTGGAGCAAAGCCCAATTTCTGCATTTATCTTTTCTTCTCTTTTTTAGACAGAGTATCACTCTGTCACCTAGGCTGGAGCGCTGTGGCAGGATCTCAGCTCACTGCAACCTCTACCTCTTAGGTTCGAGGGATTCTTGTGCCTCAGCCTTAAGTAGCTGGGATTACAGGTGCACATCACTATGCTCGGCTAATTTCTGTATTTTTAGTAGAGATGGGGGTTTCACTGTGTTGGCCAGGCTGGTCTCGAACGCCTTGCCTCTTGTGATTCACCCACCTCTGCCTCCCGAATCGCTGGGATTACAGGTGTGAACCACCATGCTCAGCCAGGAATTTGTTTTTTAAAGTAGCATACATGGCCCTCTGTTTCTGTCTCCATCCCTCTTTGCTTCTCTTTCTTTAGTAATCAGCATCCAAGAAAATCTGGGCTGTGCGGGACTCTTGTGTACCCCCCGCCTGTTTGGAGAGGCAGCATTCTGCTTGCTGCAGTGAAATAACAGACTCGAGGAATAAGCCCCTCCTGGAAGTCCTGATACATTTTCTAAAATTACACATGCAAAATTGGTAATTTTTATTTCTGATTGTTACATTTTTTTTTTAAAGATGGAGTCTTGTTCTGTCACTAGGTTGGAGTGCAGTGGCGCCATCTCAGCTCACTGCAACCTCTGCCTCCCAGGTTCATGCCTCAGCAACCCGAGTAGCTGGGGTTACAGGCATATGCCACCACACCAGGCTAATTTTTGTATTTTTAGTAGAGCTGGAGTTTCGCCATGTTGCCCAGCCTGGTCTCAAACACGTAGCCTCAAGGAATCCACCCGCCTTGGTCTCCCAAAGTGCTGGATCACAGGCATGAGCCAACACCTCTGGCCTACAGTTGATCTTAAGCCTTCAATTTCAGATGTTCTTTGACATATGATGGGGTTACATTCAAATAAACCCATTGTAAGTTGAAAGAATCATTAGTACAAAATGCATTTACTACCCTGATAAACATACTGTAAAGTCAAAAAATTGCAAATCAAATCATCTTTGGGTGAGGAACCACCTATATGCATATATTATCTAGCTATGGCAAGGCATCCTGAATTCCTAATGAAGGTTGCCCCATGGTTCTGCCACTGTGAAACCTTCTATCATATGTGGAAGTAGACGCAAATTAAAAAATTATGAAACAAAGGCAAGAAACTCAACTTTTAGTTTCTGTAACTCTTGTAGAGAATGGTTATATAAAGATGAAAAGTGACACCAATATCAATAGTTGCATACATTTCAAATCCATATTATAAACATAAATATGAAGACTGTCAGCTTTTATGTTTTATATGAGGCCGAAGTTACTAACCATTCTCAATAAGCAACATTAATACTTTGATTTATTTTTCAGAATCCTTCATAGAAGATAATTTTCAAAGAAAATGAATTATGAAGTGCCATGAAAGGAAGAATTTACAATGAGATCTGGAGAGAGGACTAGCTTCTCTTACTTAGAAAAAAAGGTTGTGGGGGAAACAGAAAGAATTTGTTCATGGTAGGAAAAAAAAGTACAAAGACTAGCTACAGGGCAGACAACAATCCATGCTTGGAAAAGCTGAATGAGGAGATGTGGAATAACATTCAGGCTGAGGGCTAAACTGTGAAGATTTCTTAACCCTCGTGAAGGCAAATTTTGGTTAAAAAGAAAAACCACACTTACCTAATGGTCTGATTATGGTGGCTTTTCAAATCCTGTCCGATGCTAGTGGTTACTACTATCTATGATGGGAGAAATAAACAAGAATCAGTTATGCCTCATCGCCCCACGTTACCTGTATGATCCTTGGTATAAATTACTCATCCTATATGCTGGAGAGTCTTTTACCTGATCAGTTTCTGCCAAAATAAAATTAATAATTTACTAGCAGTGTGCACATTTAAAGATGCCATAAATTTAACTTCCCCACATGTGACTTGATGTGGTGAAAAGCTATCTACAATGCAGTTTCCACCAGTTGGTTTCAGATAATTCCAAAGTCCAACCCAAAGGCTCATTTGATGTTATTTGTCCTTAAAATCTTGTTGTGTAGAAAGATAAGGAAATGTGTATGACACTACAAGGAGTGTTTAAAATCTTACTCTGATCCATGAGAGCCTTAGGGGGACAGAAGATTGGTGGTGTATGCTCTTCACACACTGCTGTTCCCATCTCCCTTTCCCTAAGCACTGGGAATCATCATTCTCATTTGAACAGGGACATGATTTTTTGTGATGAATGCTGTTAGCTGTCTCATATGGGCTCTTCTCCTGTCTTGGACTCCAACATAAGCCTCTGGACTTAAGGGGCCATTTACAGTTGCTAGTGCCGCCACTGAGCAAGTGGTAGGGCACGTCTCAAAGATGTGGCTACAACGCCTGATCTGTGAAAGATCAGAAACCAACCCAATTCAGCCATACAACATATTGGTTAAAAAAGGAAAATGACTCACATCAGTTGTTTCCCTTAACCAACCATTTAAGTCACTTATCCATTCAGTCAAAGCAGACTATGGTAGTCCCACCACAGAGGTGGATTTTGGGTGGGAAGCCTTATGTGTTGTTTGGGACCTATGTATATTAGACCAGATAAAACAGAAAGAATAAGGCCAAACAGGTGAAACTCTACATACATCAAAAAAAAATTGTTTTTCCCACTTACCTGGTCTTTCTAATTCTTCTCTCCTGCTTTACTCGACTATGTACCCTGCCACTAAATTCATCTTCTTCATTAAAAGACTACTTTTAATTTTCTGTTCAAAAATCTTCTATGATGCCTTGGAAATTGATGTCTAAATTCCCTAATATCCAAGATTCTCCACTTTCTAGCCCTAAAGACATATTTTTTCCCTTCTACTAGTTTTCTGTAGTTTGCAAATTTCTACTCCAGTCAAATGGTTTGTCCACTAACCCCCAATAATAGGTTGAAATGCCTCCTCCTCCCTTCTCCATCTAAATCTTGCCTAACCAGAGAAGCCTTCTCGTGACACCTTCAAGCATCCCAGCATAAAATGCTGTCTCCCTTCTAGGAACCAATATAAATCATCTGGCAATTAATTATTTTTAATTTATTATTATTATTATTATTATTATTATTATTATTGAGACTGAGTCTTGCTCTGTTGCCCAGGCTGGAGTGTAGCAGTGACATCTCAGCTCACTGCAACTTCCACCTCCCAGGTTCAAGCGAGTCTCCTACCTCAGCCTCCCAAGTAGCTGGGATTATAGACACGCACACCACGCTCAGCTAATTTTTGGATTTTTACTAGAGATGGGGTTTCACCATATTGGCCAGGCTGGTCTCCTGACCTCAGGTGACCCACCTGACTTGGCCTCCCAAAGTGCTGGTATTACAGGCTTGAGCCACCGCTACCCAGCTGTCATCTGGCAATGAAGCTTGCCTTATGACAGCCCTTTACCTGCTTAATGTTACTTCCATAAATAGTCTACAAGCAACTCAAGGTAGTGCCTTGCATACAGCAGGTGCAAAATAAGATCTGTGAATTCACTCTGATGATTTGATACTTGTCTCAGGGACAATAGCACTGAGCTGACCTTCTCTGTAGGCGAAAGCAGCAACCAAGCTATTATGGCCATCATAATTCTCACACAGATAGGAAGCTAAAACACGGACCACGGCTATGTCACCGAACATTTTTAAGTAAACAAATACACATACCAAAAATCCCAGCTAACATTTTACAGACTCTTCTCAGGAAAGCAGCAAGGACTGACCTGATTTCTTTTCTCTTACAGTAAAAGGAAATGTGATCAACTTAAACACCAAGGGAAGACTGTATCATCTCATGCACAAGACAAACAAAACGCCTCTTCCAGTTTTGTTACAGGAAAATCACAGATCAATAAGAAAAGCTGATGAGAAAACAAAGCAACCAGAAAAAAGTAGCAAACCGGCACTGTGTATAACAAGAAATAGAACTGTCTCCAATTAGAACAACAGATTTGCCTAATCCATAAAACCCATGTTATGAGAGTTTGAAACAGTTATGTATAATGTTTCATACTACAATGTAGATAAAGACCCTCCATCCCACCTGAATTATCACTTATGTTTGTTGGTTATTATGATCTGTTTAGTGCCAAACATAAGCAATTGCTTCATTTGCCAAAAGCAGTCAAACCATTTCTTGGCTGAACTAACCATTTCCTCTAAAAAAAAAAAAAAAAAAGTTGTAGATCTGATAACACTATATAAACATGGCCAATGCTGTTTTAACATTTATCTCCACAAAGCCTATCTCCCCAGGGGAAAAGGACTGAATTGCTCAGATCGCTGCAGCTACAGAGCTGCCTGCATGCTCTACTCATTCACCCGACAGTCAAAAGCAGTGCTTTAAAAGTTAATTAAATGGGATGGGATTCTTATGATTTAAACTTCCATCTATAAAAGTTTGATTTAGCAAGTGTGTAGTTGTAACGAGTCTATCATTTACCACAAATTTGCTTTTGCAGATTTTGTTGCTCCCCGGCTTTATGGCAATGCTTAACTTTAAGCGAAAATGCTCATATGGTGTGTGATGGAGCGTGCATGCAGATACCTGGCCTCCGTTAAAAGAGATATCCAGTCGAAACCACTCCTTCAACGGTATGATGAACTTAGTTTTTACAGCAAGGTCTTCTCCTTTGACAAGATGCATCTGAATATGCAAATAGCCTAAAAGGAAAATTCGAGCACATGAAAATGACAAAAAATATCTAAGAGTGAATGAAGTAGCGAGGCCTTTTCAACAATTGTCCTAAGAAGCTACAAGACTCCATAAAAACAAAGCAAAACCAAAACACACATTTATAAATACATTTCTTTGTAAATAAGACATTGGATTTAAGCTTCCAGAAACTGGGTTAAATTTGAAGCCCACGTTTGGAGGGCATTGCTCTTGCTGGGCTGCCACGTTGACAGTCTCTTCCTTATTCTAGGCAGACGTATCTGTCACTAGGCAGAGCATTAAAAAAAATCACAAGATTATTTTAAAGGTTCTGTTTTATACTCACCCTCTTCTGTAAGAAATACAGAAGGTGTGCCGTACATCTCATTAGAGTCAACAAAGTACAGAATCCCACAGAGGTTGGCCTTGCAATAATGGAGTAAATAAAGCCACAATGAAACAGTAAACCTATAAGAGTGAGGAGGAAAAAAAATCTGCAGATTGATATCATCCAAGAACAGGTAATCATGGTTAACAATGACCAAGCAAATTTATTTCTTTCCAGTGAAGGGATGAATTCGCCTTCATGTTCATCATGGGGGATCAGCTTGCAAAGCTTGATTTTTGAAACAAAGGAGGTAGTTTCAGTAACTGCAAAAGACAGGAGTTAAGCTTCATTGTACAAAACTAGCAGACTTCCTACCTTGCACCAAAAACTGTTTCTGTGCCTCTTTGAGACTCTCACATGCCTGCTATCTGAATTCTTGATTAAGGCTTACAAAGCCAGACATAGATTAAAAAAATGTGGATTTTAATAAGAGGTGATTTGATAAGAAGCTATTTTAATTTCTATGATTAAAAGAAAAAAACATAATTAGGGCCTTTTGAACAATTTTGTTTCTTTCACAGATAAAAGCCATAAGGTAGAAAAATGTAATCATCTACAAATGGCATCACTATGTGATAACAGGGACACATATATGCTATTTTCATGCTCAGATTAGGTTATTCAGTATCACGATCCTGGCTGACCAATACAGAACAATTAATCTAATTATCCCATTTCTGGACTGGGGCTATTTTAGTCAAGAAAAATATTGTACATCTGTAACTTGTGGAGTGAGGATAAAATAACGGTAGCCAACTTAACTAGGACACATTTAGCCAAGATACGTGAACCATCAATCATTCAGAAAAGACTTGCTGAACACACCCCTTGATGCCACACGTTGTGCTACTGACCAGTAGTTCAAAGATGAGGAAGTGGGAATAATTTGATATTGTATGTGAAACATGGATCAAGGTCAAAATGAATGCATTGATTTCTCTTCATTTACCCCAGTAACCAATTCACAGTTTGGGTTTAAATGGTAGTGGCCGCATGTTCTTTGCAGACACACACAAAGAAGTTCTTTCTGATCTTTATAATCTGGCCTCAAAATCAGTGGTATGATACGCAAACAGATGGTGCCACACAGCTCCCTCCTGACCCACCCAGCTGAGCAAGCTCATGAAGATAAGTTATTACAAGGAAGCTTAGCAAGAACATACGCTCCGTAAAGTGACTCAAGATCTTTCTACAGCCAGCAGCATGGGAAGAATTAAATCACTCTGCTAAATCCATCTGGTCTGAGGTGAACCAGGAACCATTTTCAGCATCTTCAATTCAGCAGAAGGAAAAATAATACATATATCTGGGTCTTGCTGAATCAATGGAGGAGATCAGAAGTTGTGAGATTTCAAACAGCTCATCCAATCTTCCACGACAGAAAGCTAAAGCCAAGGCTGCAATCTGTGCTGGCTCTGGCTGGCTGCATCCGAGACCTTGCAGGGCCTCTGGCTTCGGCACCTGGCTGCCTACTTGTGTCATGTAAAAAGGCTAAGGCAAACTGAAGATTGTTAAATGCAAGAATAATTCAAGATATTGGAGGTTTTCAGGTCCACCAATTCTGTCTAAGCTACGGAGATATCAACATTTTTGCAAAGCGCCTTACCAAGGTGTACCCTCCTAAGGAGTTCTTCCATTAGCCTGTCCTGGTCCTCAAATAAAACAAGCACCGCCTGACCAACTCCCTTCTGCTACCCATCCTTACACTGGGTAATCCATCCGCTGGCGTCGAGTGGCTTCCAGCTCTCGATTTCGAAACCTCAGGAACTTCTTGACAATGCCCGTGTTTTCTCCACTGGAGGCATAAGGAAAGCCAAGCAGGGCAACCACGTCTGCAAACAACAAAACAGCTCCCTTTCAATTATATCCAGAAAAGCATTTCTTCCCAAATCACATTCATCCTGAAAGCCTCTGCCGAGCTCCGATCAAACATTTAAGTGAGATGCCCTAAAAATATTAGCAAACATCTGTTGAATATATGCCAAGCACCATGATAAGCACTTTACAGAGACCATGTCAATTACTTTTCATAACAACTCTATGAAGTAGATTCTATTTTTAGTTCCATTCTACAGATGAAAAGCCCTAGGCTAAATTCATAAAGTTACTAAGTGATAGAACCACATTTCAGGCTCTGAACTCAGGCTTCTGTGTTCATAATCAGTTCACATACTGCCCTCTGAATGCTAAGAAAAGCATCTGAATTTGTGTCCTATCAGTACGTTAACACTTCCGTAGTTCTCACTATGGTCCAGACATTGCTATATACATGCTACACAAATTTGTTCATTTAATTTTCATTATTATCCTCAATTTACAGATGAGAAAACAGAGGACAACGGCCAAAATAGTAACTAGTGTGTGAGGATGGCCAAGTGGTCTAAGGCGCCAGACTCAAGTTACCATTTCCCAAAATAGTAACTAACATTTCGTGTACACCCAGCAATATCGTAAGCACAATTCAGGGATAATCTCACTTCATTTCACAACCCACTATGAAATAGGTTCTTTTATTATTCCCATTTAACAGATTAAAAACTGAGCATCAGAGAGAGTTAAATAAGAGGTGGAGCTGGGATTCAAACTCAAGCTCCTTGGTTGCAGAATCCATACTCTTAAAATTGCTGACTTTTTTCTTCTGTGCAAACTTTCCACAGTAAACTCAACATACTACCCTACATAAAAATTACTAACCATACATCTTAAAATTGAAAAGTCTTCCATTTCATTTCACAAACATGAAAGAATTCTTCTCTGTAGCTCTAAAAATCACAGGGATGTTCATAACAAATCTTAAAGGGAGAACTGAGTTACTTCATCCCTACTTAATAACTACCGCTTTCAACAAGACTAAGTATGAATTTTTGGTTATCCATATTCTCCCCAACTAAAGAAAAGATAATCCACTTAACTCAACCTAGGAATAAGAATACCTTTCTTGGCCGGGCAAGGAGACTCACGCCTGTACTCCCAGCACTTTGGGAGGCAGAGGCGGGCAGATCACAAGGTCAGGAGTTAGAGACCAGCCTGGCCTTCTGTTTAGTAGAGAAACCCCTTCTCTAATAAAAATACAAAAAATAATTAGCCTGGCATGGTGGTGCGTGCCTGTAATTCCAGCTACTCCGGAGGCTGAAGCAAGAGAACTGCTTGAACCCAAGAGGCGAAGGTTGCAGTGAGCCGAGATTGCACCACTGCACTGCGGCCTGGGTGACAGAGCAAGACGCCATCTCAAAAACAAACAAACTTTTTTTCTGCTTAAAGTGTTCCTTGGATTAAATGGTGGAAACAGTCTATTTTCCTGGGCTTCTTGGAGACAGAAGAGTTGATTTATGTGCAATTCACCAAATATCAATATTGGCACAAATTATGGGGGCTTCAGCCTATGATGCTGGACATCTCAGCTCTCACTTCCCAAAGGAAATAAGAAGTTTTATTATATAGAGAGGTACCTTTGGTTTACCACAATTTGGAAATCCTAAGAGCAGTTTTTAGAATCTCAGGCCCTTATGGATATATTTAATAGGATTAAATAAGCCAGTATCTCTCCAATATCCACAAATCTATGTGCTTTTTCACAGGTAGAGATCCATTTGGAAATCCAAAAGAGTGGGGTGATCAATTTCAATTGAAGCATTTAAAACCCTTTTTTTTTTTCCATTTGAGCTCAATTTGGGCCCACTGGGCTTGCTGGTCTGTTACGGGGGTGGTGAGAGGAGTGAGAAATGGAAGTACTGCAAAGGTACCGAATTCACCAAGCAGGCTGACATCAGCTCAACTTCGGTTTGGCTTCCACTATGTTGAGTGGAGCAGAAGAGACCAGATGGCCACGTCAGACCCCTAGGAAGCCTTCTGCTGGTGATGGCTGTTGAGTGATCTAGTGTGCAGTGGAAACATTTGTCAAAACAAATGGGATTCAGTTCTGCACAACCTGACTCCAATAAAAAGAAGCTTCATAAAGGAGGTTTCTAAAGTGGAAAGAGTTAAAAGTGAATGACAATGAGCTCTCCTCTATCCAAAGACCAAAATAAAGTAGATCACACGGGAGAATTGGCCACAAAAGATTATGAAGGAAAAAGCTCAGTCCCAGAGATTTAAAAAAATTTTATAAGAACACATACTGTTTGTTCCCAACAAAACCAATGTAATGGCAGTTTCTGTTTTTGTATGTTTGTTCGTTTTGAGACAGAGTTTCCCTCTTGTTGCTTAGGCTGGAGTGCAATTGTGCAATCTCGGCACACTGCAACTCCACCTGGGTTCAAGCAATTCTCCTGCCTCAGCCTCTCAAGTAGCTGGAATTACAGGCATATTCCACCACATCTGGCTTTTTTTTTTTTTTTTTTTTTGTATTTTTAATAGAGATGGAGTTTCTTCATGTTGGTCAAGCTGGTCTTGAACTCCCGACTTTGAATGATCCACCCGCCTCGGCCTCCCAAATTGCTGGGATTACAGGCATGAGCCACCAGGCGGCTCAGTAATAGTAGTTTTCTTGTAAATCTGTAGCTTCACTACTTGTATAATTCGCAGTCACAATGCAGTTTGCCCTCAGTATAATACTGTCTTTCCATTATAATTAGAAGTAATGAAAAAAATGAATTTTGGAGCAGGAGAAGACTTTAAAATTCATCTGAATTTTAGGATATGCTATGTATCCCAGGATAACATACAGGGCTATTGTCTAATAACTGATTATAGCTGCATGCATTGCTGTAATTGACTAGTGATATCTTGTCATGGGCAGTGGAGTGGGGAGTGAGAGTACCAGTGCCATCCACCATTAAATAATTTACAGGTAGAAACTTAGGTCCAGAGAGGTTTACTGCCTTGCTTCTAGAATGTACTCATGAAAGCAGGGGCCTTACTTATTCACTACTCCATCCCCAGAGCCTAGAACAGTGCCCAGTAGTTGATAAAGACTCCATAAATATTTGATGAATGAATGAATGAATATAGGTGTGGCCAAGTCAGGATTTGAACCTGTCTCCCTTCCTCCTAAGCACTTTCCACAATTCTATAATGTGCACCACACTGCAGAAGCCAAATAATGACCTTTCCTCTTTCAAATCCTTTCCCCAAATTCATTTCTTTAGTTTATCTTGCATAAAGAGCTTAGGTTAAAAAAAAAAAAGACATCATTAAGACATAAACATAGAATGCCAGGAAAACAGTTCATGTTAGGAACCCCTTGCTGTTTTGCTTGTAGTATTTCCTCAAATTTTAGAGCAAGAAGAGGCAACAGATATTACATGGTGCAAACTCCTTCATTTAGAGGTGAGAAAAGTGTGAGTGTCTTATTGAAGATTTCATAACTAATAAGAAGTCCCACAGCCAGGTGTGGTGGCACATGCCTGTAATCTCAGTACTTTGGGAGGTGGAGGTGGGCGGATCATGAGGTCAAGATATTGAGACCATCCTGGCCAACATGGTGAAACCCTATCTCTACTAAAAATACAAAAGTTAGATGGGCGTGGTGGCACACGCCTGTAGTCCCAGCTACTCTGGAGGCTAAGGGAGGAGAATTGCTTGAACCCAGGAGGCAGAAGTGGCAGTAAGCAGAGAGGGTGCCACTGCACTTCAGCCTGATGACAGATTAGGACTCCTTCTCAAAAAAAAAAAGCCCCACTGTGACTCAAACCTGGCCTCCCCATTGCAAACCAATGGGCTTTTCTTCTCAGTCCTCCCAGAGAGAACCTTGGCTGATATTCAGCAGGCCTGCTGCCCCTGTGCAGATATACTGGTTGCTAAAACACTGAAATATTTCTTTTTTTCGTTTGATAGTTCATGCTACCTCAAACCTCCAAGGTCCCACCACCCACCCCGGCCCCTCTTTCAGGTTAGAGCCTGGCCCAGCAGTGGTTTCCAGGGCCGGCTTCAGCACTGGAGCTAGTGCCCACTGTGGTTCACCACGGCCCCCACCTCTCCCTGGTTGTTAAATATTTTAAATCTCATCCCTGGGTTGGGTGGGGTTAAGAGACGATTATGTAGCCCATGCCTCTGTTTCAGCTGAGTGATCAGAACCCTGATAAGGATGCTTTTCTCTGGAGAAGGTAACGCTTCCACATAACAAAACCCCACTCCAGATGTGCTTCAAACACACAGCAATGAAGCCGCTGAGATCCTCAGCCCACCCTCGGAGAAGCTGAAGATGGTCTTGATGAAAGGAATCACAATGACTACAAGTCTGTAAGCAGAATCGGTGGGGAAGGAAGCAAAGATTTCTCAACCTGGAGAAACAAAGCCAGAGCGAAGGCAGCTCAATAATGCTTTCCAAACACAGGACATTAAAAAGCCAGTGACCAATCAGGTGTTTAATTTTCTTTAAAGCCAAAGCCTGAGAATAAAAACTCGATTTTCTACAGATATGATTTAGGTCAGAACTCCCTCCAGAAAGGATACTAGGCAGTGAAGCAGGTTACTAAGGAAGTCTGTGGGACATTGCATGACAGGAGTCTTAGGAATAAAACCAGTTCTACTCCTAGTAACTGATCCTTCAAACATGCTTATGAGGGTGCACAAAGATACATGTACAAGGATGTTCAGTGAAGCCTTGAGGTTAAAAGCAACAGCACAACCATCAACAAAAGATAGGTTAAATAAATTATGGTCTGTCAGGCAACGCAACGCTAAGGAGCTGAAGAACGAGGTCAGCAGCATGTCCTGGTACGGAAAAATCTACTGTATCGTTAACGAGTGCAGGGCCGTTTCTAGAATCCTCTCATTTGTGCAGGAAGAGAACGGGAGACAACTTAACACTTACATGCACAGAGAACATTTCTAGAAGGAGACACAAGAAACCGTTGCTAATGAATTTACTTCTGGGAAAAAGACCAGAAGA